GAGATGTGTAAAACAAATATGTAATAACTGGGTTCACTCCCAAAACTTCTACATGCCAAAACATCTACAGAGAGTTGTCATGGCTGATTGAGTTTACCCATTGTTATAATGGTATAGTCCTCCTGTAATTAGGAAGACTCATTAGCTTCTTTACGATTTTGTTTTAGAAAGGCAAGGAAGGGTACTTTGGGAAGATTAAATAGTTACAGATGTACGTAATGAAAACAACATATTTGGAGATAAAGAAGATTATAATAAAAAGACCCGTCACTTACAATGAAATTAACTGGTTTAGGAAATCACGATCTTTTCGAGGGCCTATCCCCTACAGTAAACACATCAAAATTCGCGGATGATGGAGCCATCTGGATCCGCACTAAAAGCATGAAAATGGCCCCATCAGACTCGCTAGGTGCACTTCAGGCCATCAGTGGCAGAAACAGTGGCCAAACACAATCAACAATATTCTATACGAATATACCAAACTATCGGACCAAGGGCAACAGGTGGAGCTGTGTTGGATCCCCTCTCACATAGATATTCATACTCAAATGAAAGGAAAATTGAAATTGCTATCTCACGCCTCAGACTCGGTCACAAAAAGCACTATGACAAGGTTTGTTCATCTTGCAATCTTTTAGACTTTGGTGCTGCCCCACCAAGCAGGAAGCGAGTTTACAGAGAGACTGAAAACCGCCTGAGACGTCTTAAGGACATGTTGACTCAAGAACAGAAAACCCCTATCGAGTTCCTTGATGCTGTTGGTCATCTTCTCAAACTTGGTTAAGAGACTTGAAAAAAAGTATTTTTAGTGCTGTATGTGACAGAGTAAGGCCAGTTGTGACATTAAATTAGTGTGTGTACTATTTATTTTTACAAGTGCTTACATTTAATTAGTAAGTAGTCCAGTGGAAAAAGTGTGTGTACTATTTATTTATACCAGTGCTATATGAGTCGATTGTCTTCAAATTGTTTTGTTGTGTTGTATGTTGTACACTTAATTAATTGGACTGTTCCAATCAATGCCCAACAGGTAATAGCCAGGAGATTAGTGGTGCAGTGGACCATAAACTTTGTTGTTTTAAGCTGTAGAAGTTTTGGCATGTAGAAGTTTTGGGAGGACACCAATAACTGTACCCCAAGAAAGGTAACGGGACCACTGAAGACATTTTGTTTGATCTTGTTGACTGAATATGAAAAGGGCTGAAAAACGTTTTATGATAAATTCATTGAAAAAAATTATAGCATATCTAAATGTGAAGAAAAAGGGGCTGATGTACCAGGAACACATTTTACTACTAAATATTGGTTATACGTTTGATGCTATTTAGATATACAAATAGTACCAAATGACGATGGTTTCAGTACAGAATACAACAAAGAATTATAGCAACAAATAAATATTTAAAAATGATAATAAGATTCGTGTCTTTTTTTGTCACTCTTCCGTTGAAACTGTACACTTTTTTATCATGGTCATAAAATACGTAATTTTTGGAAAGACTTTCTAAGCTACATTTGTAATTAAATGTCTTATACAATAAGTAATCGTACGTAACATCTTTTATCATATAATGGGTAGTTTTCTCGGCAGGATAAGGCCAACGGATAAAAACGATATCCGTTGGGGTTATATGCGGATAGAGATTCAAATATCAAAGGTCAAGCAGGGACTACTTTCACTGTTTATAAACAAACATGGCATTGCCCTCGTCATTCGGCGATCGAGTCTGAATTAACCATCGGGAATCTGGATAAACTACAGGGACAATTGCAAAAGAACAGTCTAATATACTGAAAATCAGTGTCGAACTGCGACGTAGCTAAGGCATTTTATAAGTTTTGGCAACTTTGGAGATATAAATTTCGAAACAGTTTTGCGAGGGCACTGGGCCTAGCCAAGCGGGATCAGTAGCCATATCCGTGCTTGTAGACCTCTGCGCCTTGAAACCTTTTCCACAAATTAAAATAGTTGGATTTAGGCAAAATATGTATGAATTGTCACCTTGTTTCGTTTTGTCGCTGTGTGTACATCTGACTGCACTTCTTAACGTTATGACAGGACAGACCGACTGTCAAAAACGTCTGACCGTGGCCGTGACGTCTCATAGACTAGGGTTAGAGTAGCTTCCCTTTGACAAAGGGCAGTTACTCTAACGGACAGACCGATGGATTGCCGCGAAACGCAAGTAAAAACAATTGTTGTTTTGAGTATATGTTGCTTCGCCACTGTATAAGAAACAGATTTCAATTGGAACTATATTGGTTACTGTCACTGTCCGACTGACATATCACTTACCTGTGACGTAATAAATATTAATGCGCGCATTCCAGGAAAACTCGCAATGTTTAGGTAATGTTTGTGAGTGAGGGGAAGCGACTTTCAAGCACAGAATTGAAGAATGACATTGTATGATAAAGAGGTTATCACCCTTGTGTGTTTGGGGATGGTAAATATCCTGTATTAGGAATAAACACTATGTATTTAGCTCGCCAAGGCTCGCTTAATACAATGTTTATTCCTAATGCAGGATATTTACCATCCCCAAACGCACCCGCGTGATAACCTCTATTTATCATATAATGGGTAGTTTTCTCGGCAGGATAAGGCCAACGGATAAAAACGATATCCGTTGGGGTCATATGCGGATAGAGATGCAAATATCAAAGGTCAAGTAGGGATTACTTTCAATGTTTATAAACAAACATGGCGTCGCACTTGTCATTCGGCGATCGAGTCAGAAATAACCATCGTGAAACTGGATAAACTACAGGGATAATTGCTACAATTATCAAAAGAACAGTCTAATATACTGAAAATCAGTGTCTAACTGCGACGTAACTAAGGCATTTTATAGGTTTGGGTAACTTTGGAGATATAAATTTCGAAACAATTTCTTAAAACCCAGGCTGTTTTCAATCATCTGGTGTCTTCAATGCGCCAGTGCTGCCTCGCATGTATCAACGCAGATGGTGGTCACACACGATATTGACATTGTTAATTGAGTTGTTACACCACCCCTCTTTTAGGGCGTGTCTCTCTATGTCCTGTAACCAGTTACTGGTTTTGTCAATGAATTTATTATAATAAAAAAAACTGATCAGACGAATGACCAAATAACATGCTGTTATTTTAAATGACATAACATTTGCACCACTTTATATGAAGCACAGAAACAAAAGAAAAGTATGGTAAAAGATGGTATGAAAGATCTGGAGTCTCATTATCATGTTCCTCTGGATGAGTGAGTGAGTGAGTTGGGTTTAACGTCGCTTTTAACAGTATTCCAGTTATATCACGGCGTGTCAGCTTAATGTGGGAGGGAAGCCCGAAGTGATGCAGGTCTCAGACGTTTACCACTTCGGTGAAACCCACGAGCACGGGTATGGTGCTGACAAACCTAGATACATAATCGGGGTGAATCGGGATTCGAACCCACAATCATAGATTTCTGGCGTGTCCAGGGGACGCAACTCTGCACAGCGAATCGCGGCGCCTTAGACGACTTGGCCACCTGTGCCCCCCAAACATGGAGATAAGCTGCATGTCGAGTCAAGTGCATGGTAAGCAAAATCAATTGACAGATTGACAGAAATGTTGGTCCAGAGTGATTAATCGACCTTCCTTGAAAGTGTCAACATCAGGAATGGCATCCTACGCACGTATACGGGGCTACTGAGTGCGGCACGTGTAAGCTATAGGATGTGTAATGGTGTTTTACAGACATAAACGTTCTTGCACTGATGGTTGTCATCACACTTGTTTGTTGTAATACTTAATATTAACATTTATATTTCATGAGCCCCTGCTTTTGTTAAGAGTATATATTAAGAACGTCAAGATTGAATGACGTACAGGGTCGGACCATCTTCCACTTGCTATAACACTACTATTGAAGCACAAACAAGAAAATGCTGAGTTTGCTGGTAGTTCCATATACAGACAGCAAGAATGACCAGTGAGTGAGTGAGTTGGATTTAACGCCGCTTTTAACAGTATACAGTTATATCACGGCGTGTCAGCTTGATGTGGGTGGAAAGCCCGAAGTGATGCAGGTCTCAGACGTTTACCACTTCGGTGAAACCAACAAGCACGGGTATGGTGCTGACAAACCTAGAAACATAATCGGGGCGAACCGGCATTCGAACCTACAATCATACGTTTCTGGCGTGCCCAAGGGCAACCGTGGCAATACAGACATATAAATGACGCTTATGAAAATGTTCAATCAGATCAACAGTCAGCTTTAGGATTTGACAAACATGATTTGATATTGTATATTGTTTAGAAATATTTAAAAACTGTGGATCCTGATATTATTACAAAATGTCAGAAATAACCATAATATTTATCTTTTACAACCGAATTGGTTTAATGATGAAAGAGAGAAAAATAGTATCATTGCTTTCAAAAGCTTGTCAACAAAAGAACATTTTTAAAGATATAGAAATTGTAGAAACAAATGTTAAAATCTGTGTTCAAAAAGGAAGAGAACGTTTGAGGAGCATATTGGACAGAACACAGCAAAGGCATCAAGAAATAATGATTATATAGACTTTTAAAAATTAATTAATCAGCGTTGTAGTTGAAATATCATTCCCGATAATATTACTGCTATTGAGCGGTAGAAGTACTTTAAATATTGTATTGAAATTCTACAAAATGTTACCACCCAAAAGAATGCACAACAGCCGTTATTGTTCCTATGAACAAGAAAGATGATACAGAAGATGTCAATAGTACATGGGTATCTGTTATTGAATACAATGAGTATGAATGTTTCATCCATTCTGAATAAAAGACTAGACGCCTTTGTGGAAACCGAACAAAATTTTAGGGAATATCAACGTTTATTTTCAGAAAGGATCACAATAACTGATAGTATTTTTATTTTACACGCTCTGGTACAAAGACTACATGAAGAAGACAGGGGACATTTTACTGGATCTTTATGGATTGTTAAAAAGTGTTCGATACGGTTGACACATTTTGCACACAATTTAAAAAATAAAAATTCTTTATTCAATTCAGTATATGACATTACAGAGTTATACATTGAGTAGCACGTCTTGTGGTATACTTATTAGGTACAGGTTACATACATATACAGCAGACAGCAAGTCAGCAAGTCAGCAAGTTTAAGTTGGCTACAGGTGTACAACAATGTTTACAAATGGTGAAACGGGCAGGCTACATTTGCCATGTTTATTAACTAAGTGTGAAGCTAAATCCTTACAGCACATTAGTGGAAATTGTTTATGTTAAAAAAAAAATAATTTTTTTTTTTTAAAAATAGAGACATATTAACTAGACAATTCATTTGCCAAAGCTTTCCATTTTCTGTCAAACTGTCTTATTGTATTGTTTTGTGTTAAATTGATTTCTCTATCCGAAATATAACAATTAAAGTCTTCAGAAACTTTTCAAGTGACAATTTGTTTTTCTTAATACTTGATACATGTATATATTTTTTGCATGCCAGTATAATGTGATTTAACAGAATGTTAGAGTTGTACCCAAGTAAAACAGAACATTTTGTAAATGTAAATAGTTTTGAACATTTTGCATTCAGAAAACATTCAACTTTAGCCTAAAACTCTTTAACATGCTTACAATCCCAACGTACATTAAGTAAGGATTCGGTATCAGTTTCACTAAAGGAGCACAGATCATCATCGAGAACTTTCATTATAAACAATTCTTTCTTTGTATAGATGATGCGATAAATAAATTTACATTAAAAATCAAGTAATTTTTCATCTTTTGTACATTTCCGTATTTGATAAAAAACACCCTTCCATGATATATCTGAGTCGAGAATGGTATCCCATTTTTCACAGACAGTTGGGAGATTTGCTGTAGTTATAGTCTTATCATAAAAATGTCTGGAGCCTTTTAGGCGCTACAAGTAAGTCCATCAAGTTGTATTTAAATGTTGATTATATAAGATAATGTGATTATTTCTAATAGTATCTTTCCAGGATTTTGGTATGTTTAATAGAACTTGGTAATATTCAATAATTGTGCCTTTAATTTAGTATTTTCTTTTCAATTCACTAAAGGGCATTTTATCATCTTCATTTCAGAGATCTTTAATAGTGTAAATTCCCTTTAAAAACCAATTTCTTATAATGAAATCGGTTTTTTTAAACTGATGGTTACACCAAAGAGGTTCTGATAGTACTTCTTCAATGTTTGTGGAGTTAGTTTTGTTAATGGTAATATGCATTGGAGGAAGTGTAACTCATTGTTGCTCAATTATTTGCAGATGAGCTGATACTTACAGTTGATTCTACAAAAAGCTTACAAAGATATTTAGACTGTTTGCACCAGTATTGTACGTAAGTGGGAAATTAAATCAATCATGGGAAACAAAGATAATGGTATTTAGAAATAGGGGATATTTATCAGAATATGAGCATTTTTAAATTAATTAACGTTTTTAACGCACACAAATATCTTGTATTAATCACAACTCATAAATTGTTTGGACACATGCATGTTGATTCACATTTGAATAACTGACGAAAGTTGTCAATATTAGAGAAGTCACCAGTTAGTATGCATGACCAACGTGTTGGAAGCAGTATGATCAGTCTTGGCAGCCACAAGTAGTGGAATTACATCACAAGATGCCAAATCCATATCCTGTTCCTAAAGTTAAACAGCTTGGGTGAAATGGTGTTCATGTGGTGTTCGAAATTGAAACGTGCTTCTTGAAATTTCAAGTATTGTGGGACATTAAAGAATTAAAATCGATAACATAGAATCAGTTATTATGCATGCCTGTATGTGGACATGATACAAATTCTTGCTCTTCTTGAGTATTGTAAGCTGACTATTCTTTTCTGATCACAAGATATGTTAATCGCAAATCATCCTTGAATTCTTCAGGGCTAAGCTTTGATATTCGTTTTTCAACACTCTCATAAAACTCATCGACTATCTTCTTCTTCTCTTCCTGTGAGCGGGAATCTGAGAGGCCGTTCATGAAGGTGCTATTGCCCCAATTCCTATGGGCCGATGTGTACATCCGAGCAAACTCCTCCCTGTCATCAATCCCTTCCTTGTCTTTCTTTTCCCTCCATGTTGTGTAAAATATGTCAGGGTTGATAACCGTTTCAGCCGACAAGAGACAGAGTCCGGATTTGGAAACTGCTGACATTTTGTCATCGAATGGTTTTCTCAGCTGAGCCATGCTGTGAAGGCAAAATGACAAATTTGTATTAAAAAATTCTTCTTTTGAGATTTTCCCAGATTCTCTATATTCCTGCCAAACCTTAGTGAGTAACGTTATGAACGTCTCAGAAAGATACTTGATTTTTCCACTGCTCTTGTCTACAGTCTCACATCCGGCACCAAGAACAAGCAGGCCTCCCTTTTTCATTTCTCGACTTCTCAAAAGTAAGAAGGTCTCCAAGTCGATCTCAGACTGTTTTTCTAAAGCCATCTCCTCCTCAGCACTACTCTCAGGGTATTTGTAAATTGAGTCCTTAAAGTGTATTGGAGTCTTTGACAGCCAGTGAACAGCGATCATACTCATGATGAAATGCATTGAATTTGAAGGTACACATTGTTTGTAGAAGTTTGTCCCAGCAGCGAGAACATAGACGTTGTCCATTTCCAGAAGGTATGAAGGAGGTTCAGGAATGATTCCTGCCGTACGTTTGAACAGGGAATTGAAATCATTCACTTCCGAGTCTTCATAGATGACCTGGAATTGTGCCTCTGGGCCGTGCTGATCTTTCAGAGTTGCCAACATCTGCCCAATCATGGCCATGGAAGCAGAACCATCAGCTGCGCCATAGTCGCCTATGTTGAACACTGAGTCTTTGGCAGTGAATGGAATGGATTTGACCCCGTTGAGGATCTTGTCTCGTACTGGTTCCGTGTAGTCAGCACTCTGCTTTCCGAGTGTTGATCCATAATTTCCGTCTCCTGTTTTTCCGTATGGTACATATGCAGTTGGACGACCTGCATAGTATCTCACAGATACATCTGCATGTATTTTGTGAAAATGTAAATGTGTTCGTATCGCTGAAGAGAATATACGGACGGACATCCTTGAGGTACAGGTCTTACGTCAGCCTTCTTTTGTTGTATCTGTAAAAATGCTGAAAGTATAAAATAGCATTACCAATTTCATGCGTAGAACAGTTCTATGTTAATGATAAAATTAGAAGTTAGGATTTGCAAACAGCATTTAATGTAAATGCACTATTATGTGTTTTCTTTATGTTAGATTAGGTACAAAAGATTCAAATGCACATATTTTGTCAGAACATATAAAGGTGTATGTTCACTAATGCAACTCAATCATTCCTGTCATTGACTAAGGCATACTTGGACACATAGCGCACAATTAGCCTGTATTTATGTTACCAAACAAAGACATACAGTCCTACATGAGTATGAATTTGAGGATAATTATTAATAAGAAGTATTATGCATATCGCCACACGACTGTCACTTCTTAGATGAAGAATAAGCAATTATATTGTATTTTGATCTGATTTTATTTTCAGGTTTCTGATAGTTCGACGTTCTCTCTACGTGATTTTATACTGGCTTCCTGACGTTTTGTTAAAAAATGGTCAAATAGATCATTCCCTTCCACTGTTTTACCCATCTGACCTGGAAATGAAAGAGATCAGTGAAACTGCCTTGTGTTGCAGTGAAGTTTTCACGTTGTATTTTATTTTACATAAATAGTCAATACAAAGTCAATAGTTTTCTTGAACCGCGGCGTTCTAGCTGTCACATCTGCATCATATTTATCATTGTAAGGAGTGACGAAAACTCCCCTCCACAAGACTATATAACAAGATGGATGACTTTATCTTTCCAAAAAGTCAATTTTCCCTTTACGTCGACTGTTGTTGAAGAACCTCAAGAATCTCCAGCCTTTACTTTTCAGGTAAAGCATGCTCTTGTACGAATATTCTAAAGAGCGCCATACACCTCTTGCTCAAAAGCTGTTTGATCATGATAACATTCAATGCCTGAGTAAGACTTCCATAAAGTTCTATGGTAAACATAAGGAGGACATTTCCAAATTTGAAGCCAAAATGATGTCCGATCCAATTCCCTATTTTGCTTATATGCTTCCGTGTTGTTGTTTTTTCATGTGAACAGTTCCCTTGGCTTTGCATGTGTTTGTGACGGGTAGGATACGCTCCCATTTTTTGCAGACACCTGGCATCATCACTATCACTACAATAAAGATTCATAAACTGAAATTCGAAACTGAAATTAGCAAATCAGCCAATTTGGAGAAACAAATTTGAAATGAAAATATTTGACCAGTTAAACCTTGAAATGTATAACAGAGACAAAACAGCTATAATGTCTGGCACTGAAATGTTCCTAGATGTGTTTTCTAAACACTTCATGTGAAGTCTCAACATATAATTGTGCTATATAACATGTAAATGAATTGAAACATGTGCATAGGCAACCGTTCATTTTAGGGATATGCCACATGAAAACAAACAGAAAGATCGCACCAGAACAGTTGCAAATGAAGCATAAAGCAGGCAACACATCTTCATATGACACACTCAAATAAAAATTGGAATACAATGAGACCATATTTAAGATACAAGACGTCGTGTTCAGGTATGTGAATATGTCCACTCGCAAATGAGCTTGATATGATAGTAGTGGTGACAATTCATCGTTAGTCTATCAACACATGCATGAACACACATTCGTATACACTTACATTCAAAGGCGTTATCTCTATGAGTGCAGCTCCTCCAAATGCACACAACCAGATTGCTCTATCAGTAAGCACAAACAAGAAGTCTGGCCGACTTAACAGTCTTTGAAACAACCTTCAAACCTATTTAAATAGTCAACGGACCGGGACGAAATTTGAAAAAGCAGGACGAGACTCGTCGTTTCGTAAGAGTGGCAATTCAATAAAGCGAGAAAGCGTCAGAACAGTGTCTGAATACACGAACAGCAGTGCACGACCTCAGCGTCAGATAATACACCGTCAGCAAGGTCAACCATTGTGTGAGCCTGTTCTGCTTCGACAAGCAAGCCATACAAGTTAAAGACACTATATATAGTATCATAGCACTGAAAAGCCTATGCACAAGTTAGATTTCATATTTAATCTTTTGTGCACTATGTGAAATTGCTGTATAAACCTATATTTTATTTTTACCCGTTTCACTCTCATATTGTTGTCTGCGTACTGGTTTTCTGAAAAACATTATAAAATTTAACCCTTGAAACGTACACTGGTGGAAAAAAGTAACTGTGCTTTATATAAAGTAGTTATAGTGAGTGAGTGAGTATAATTTTACGCCGCTTTTAGCAATATTCCAGCAATATCACGGCGGGGGACACCAGAAATGGGCTTAACACATTGTACCCTTGTCGGGAATCGAGCCCGGGTCTTCAGCGTGACGAGCGAACGCTTTAACCACTAGGCTACCCGACCGCCCCTGGACAAATAGTATCGCAGTCAGAGACACATATGTGCGCAGTGAGTGTTGTTCAATTTCGATTGTGATTTTGATTGGACTATGCATAGACTCGTTAGTCCAGCCAAAATGTAACTCCATAATTCCAGCCTAGTTCGAAAGGGTAGAAACTGGACTTGTATAGTTTTGTGAATTCCCTTCCATCGGGAAGATGCGATGAAGCAGTCGTATGAGAAATATCACAACCCGAGACATTCTACACAGACCTTACCAGTATTAGAACAAGGAATGCCAGTACGTCTTAAGTTGGATGATAAGAAAATATGGGTCAGCTCAGGGTGTTGTGCAGTCCGGTGACCCGCTGAAGATAACATATGTTGTTGCTACTCCCCGGGGAGCCTACAGGAGATATCGTTGTCATATTCTTCCAGATCGGCCACTCAACAGGACAACAGGCGAAAACAAGCTCTCTGTCCCAGTAACCCCTACTAAGCCAGCCAAGCCCAACACTCCAAATCCAGTGGTTACTTCAGGGCTTAACCCCACTGACACCAGCTCTACTTAGACACTGATAACCAGATCAGGTTGATTCATCCGTGCATCAAAGCATTTTGCTGAGTGTGATATCACTGATGGACAGGGACATTATAAGGAAATACAGTTCAGTTGTTACGGGGGCGGTCGGGTAGCCTAGTGGTTAAAGCGTTCGCTTGTCACGCCGAAGACCCGGGTTCGATTCCCGACATGGGTACAATGTGTGAAGCCCATTTCTGGTGTCCCCCGCCGTGATATTGCTGAAATATTGCTAAAAGCGGCGTATAACCATACTCACTCACTCACTTCAGCTGTTACGTGGAGTTCTAATCAACATCTAATTGTGTTGAACTTAAAATAGAGATGTGTTGTTGGGAAAGTTATTTACTCTTTTACAGGTAGTGATATGAATATTTGAACGACAGCAAAATATTTATTTCTCAAATTTCATAAGTTTGAGGGATTATTTGGAATGACCTGATAATCATGAGAACATGGTGTAAGATTTAACAATCTCTAAAAAAGGGGGAGATGTCATGTACTGTCAAAATTATTGAGCGGTTCTCCATTCCGAGTTATACCGCCTGCCGACTGGTATGGGTTGGGAGAGGAAAGCACATGAGCATGACTGCTAAACGTGTGAACAGCCATGTATTTATTTCAAGCATAAAGATGGTTGAATGGAGACCTCGTTATATGATAAATCTATTTGTGTAGGGTTAAATTGTTATGATTAGTATGCTTTCCTGCTTTCCGTTCCACATGGGGGGCTTTCGTTTGTCCCCTTTAGATAGTGTTGTGACGCACGTTTGAAGAGATGTTAGAAGGTCAGACTGACTGACTGACTGAGTATGGTTTTACGCCGCTTTTAGCAATATTCCAGCAATATCACGGCGGGGAACACCAGAAATGGGCTTCACACATTGTACCCATGTCGGGAATCGAACCCGGGTCTTCGGCGTGTAGAAGGTCAGAATGTTATCTAGGTCAGAAAGCTTATGCATGTACTTTGTGCTGACCTAGTGTGGTTGTGCGCATTTGAAGGAGCTACACTACTGCCTAGAAGTTCATTCACCTTACACGCATGGGCAACGCTTTACGCAACCCCGGCCTGTGTATCCCGTTCGTCACTCGTGTGCAACGCGTGCCACACTCATTACAGGGGGAACAAACTTTGGACCAAAGGAGGACCAGTGTTAAGCTGAACTTGGAGGTGGTAACAAGGAGATGATTTATTTATTTCCTGACGAAAAATGTTAAAACACATTTTATTCTGTGTACTTCCTGGTGTCTCATTTTTAGATGTGTTTTGTTGGGAAATATGAGTACAGTTGTGGCGTCTACATGATTTTTTGCGATGGTGTTAACAGAATACATGGTCCTGTTAAATGTTATTGCTATTCAAATGTGATTTGACATTAAACGTCTGCAGTACGACTTCGCAATGATCATGTTTATGAGGTTTGGCGGAGCATTGTTTTCATTGGACCCTAATTATTTTATGATGGTTGGGTCTCTTTGTCTCAGCTCCATAGGCGTGACGCAGGGAAAGGGCAGCATTTAATTAATGAGAGTAGGTTATATCATGGAGGATACACTTGAGGGAGAGGGTTCTACTAATTACAGTATCACAGAAAAGAGACCCTATCGCGTGAGCGCGGGGTTGTGTGTAAGATGGCCGTTGCATTAAGGCCGCCAGGTGAGCTATTTAAAGCAGTGTTGTTTTCACGGGCTTGTTGAATAAATTCTGAGCGCTACTGTCAACATATCTTCTACTTGATCCTAGATACATCATTTTGGCATTTACAATATATATTTGTCAACGTACACTGGTGGTTTACTTGTCATATCTTTTAGAGTATTTGTCAATTGTGTTGAGCTTACAAGCAATAATTGTAATTTGTGGTGACATGTCTCATTAACACATGAAGTAAGTACGATAGTAAATAATTATATTTGAATCGCTTTAAAATACAATGATAACAAGAATACTGATACATATGTAACCCTAAAGCCTGTGTTCCATATTCATAGCCAGGAGGAAAACTGATTAAACAAAGGGAAGAATCTTGTCCTTACTTATATGTAGAGACATCATCTGAATATGACTATACATGTAAATGTTATTAAATATGGGCATAGAGTTCACGAAAACGATACCATATTCGATTTTTTAGGTGAATTTACATTATTTGATAATGAATTCAGTTATTGATATCTAAAAACCATACTCACTCACCATATAGCACAACGGTACTTTGATTCTATAGCACAAAAAATCGTTACCCAGAATTACTGTGTAACGGTTCATCCCTTGTTTTCAGACGTGTAATTCAGACAAATAAGATAAGATAAGATAAGATAATATTTTATTTGCGTGTCACGCAGTATAAAAAAACATACATTCAAAGTACCTAACAAAATATAAAATATACCAGTTGGCCTATGAGATAATTTTGTTTTCAGTTTTATGTAAAGAGATTATACTAGTATCGTTTAGTGAGATACAAATGCAAGATATATACGAACGTGTGGTAACAGAACAATTTTATAAGTACTTATTTGAAAATGTCCCATTGTTAATATCTTTTGTAACTGTTGGGGAATCCTTTAAGGAAGAATACCATTAAAACTAAATATATTTAGACTTGTATAAACATGTGGTTTAATCCTATAAGGAAGAATAACAATTACTTATGGATCAGAAGTGCACTATTTACAATGCAAGTTGAAATTTTCCTTTTATACATAGCAGTAGCAACTGCGGCTAGGGGAATAGCTAAACTATCATTCTGCACAACAGATCAGAGTAGTATTCACATTCTGTGAGGAAATGTACTTCGTGTTCGACTCACTGGCCGTCACATAACCTACATAAACGGAGGTGTAGTGGTGTCTTTGGACGGGAGTACCGACCAACTTCAACTTCCAAAGGGAGAGAACTGCAGGTACTACGTTGCTGTCTGTCTTCAACAGAGCGGAAATAGGTCGACGTAATTAGAGTATTCTTAAAGAGTCTAAAAGTCCTCAACTTATTCTAATGTTCATGGCCAGTGTCATTCCATAAATCACGTGACCAACAATCGGCGTCATTACATCTCAAAGTGCGTGTGATTAGATGGAATTCACTAATAGAGAAATTAAACAAATCCATAGATTGTAGTTGGAAGTTGTAGTGATATAAACATTGCATTAACTGTCTTATCCCATGATTTGCGGAAGGTAAGAGACCAATTTCGAATCTGTGAAACAAGATGGCGGAACAGAGTTTATCTTTCTACAAAATCGGAAAGCTTCTATTTTCTGTTTAGTGGGCTGAGCAAGCCAACCCATCTCGCTCCGGACAGCTAAATTTGGAGTATATTTACCCACCTCGAGAAAGAAACGGCAAGCTTTATTTTGAACTGCGTTTATACAACTGAATTCGCGATTGCCAAAAATAACTGAGCCATATGATAAAATTGGTTGAACAAGATGATTAAATAGCGTATTATATACGTCATATGGCATTCCTCCAAAGTTTCCTAGTTTTAATTTACTTATAATTACACCAAGAGCTCTACTCGCGGATTGGGCGATTTCTTTGGCTGTAGAATTCAAATTTAAGTGTTTTTCTAGCCATAAACCAATATATTTGTGTGATGAGCATATGTCAATGTTGTCATTGCCACACTGAAACTCAAATGATGTTCGTTTCACAGATGGTGGCCGATAATGGACTACTTTAGTTTTGCTGGTATTAACTTGAATTCGCCATCTCTTACACCAATCAGCAACACAGTGAAGCATTGATTGTAATGAATGACTGTTCATTTGGCGCAAGTAATGCTATGTCATCAGGATACATCAAAAGACTGAGAAGACTACCACCAATGTCTACACCGCATTTTAGATTGTTTATCTCATGGGTCAGGTCATTAATG